CAGGGCAGTGCTACTGACTGAAGTGTCTTTAGCTCCCCCTCTCCCAACCAGGGCAGTGATACTGACTCAAGTGTCTTTAGCTCCCCCTCCCCCAACCAGGACAGTGCTACTGACTGAAGTGTCTTTAGGCCATCTCCCCTCCCCACCCCCAACCCCAAGGCAGTGCTACTGATTAAAGTTGTCTTTAGTCCATTCCCACAGGTGGGATATTGAAATGTTCTTATGCATCAGGGCGCATAGGGCGAACTGCTACTTTTTCTTTCCTCATCCTTTGCTATCGTCATTTTTTCTCTACTTTATGTATGTCACTCTCTTGTGAACCGCTATTTCCAGGGTGCCTTGATAGTCAAAGCAGACTTTGTGCTGTTGAAGCTAGAGAGGTGAGCAGAGTAAGCCTGATTCCCCGTTTGGACTTATCTGTTGACATCCACCCCCCTGGCACTCATAATATTATGGATGACCTTAAGCAGTTGCGAGCGCCGCAAAAGCTTACAAAAACTGACACCTGGGAAAGGTGCCAGGACTGTCTAGGACAAAGACTACAATGATAATAATAATAAATTGCATTTATATAGCGCATTTCCACAAAGAAGACCTGAGCCAGTACGTTGATTCATGTCAGTCACCAGCAGAACTCTGCCATGCTGTTTATTGGACCTGGTTGAGTTTTTCGTCTTGTTTTTGTTGTTGTTGTTGTTGTTGTTGTTGTTCTTGTTGTTGTTGTTGTTGCTGTTGCTAATGTGTTGTAGTTGTTGATTTTTTCATTGTCATTTTTTTTCATATGCCATAGTATACAAAACATTTTTCATTAATCAAGAACAAAACCAAACCAAACAAACTAACCCAAACCCAAAGAAAAAACAAAAGAACAAAAAAAACCAAACCCCACACACACACAAAAACCACACAAAAACACACAAATAAATACAAAACAAACAAAACAAAACTAGACTAAATCCTCCCAATGTATATCCCTCGCGCAGTGTTAACTTCGACATGGTTCTCCACAAGATGGAAGGAATGGACACCGAAATAGACGCGCTCAACGCCTACAGGGACAGCATGACGTCACGGCTGGACGACTCGCTCCAGGCCATCACGGACGGTCGTGTCTTCTACCAGGGCGGTCAATACGTCCTGTCCAAGCCCTTCGTGAGCAACGTAGCCATGGCCGGAAGCCTGTGTCGCCTTTTCGGTGGCTACTTGCTCCAGCTCAACAACCCGGCCGAGTATACCGTGGTCTCGCAGCTCATTCGCGACTACTCCAATGGCGACATGGTGGCCGTGGGTGCAACGGACGAGGCTGTGGAGGGGACCTGGAACTTCCTGCAGTCCGGCACTGCGATGAGCACCTCGTTCCTGGAGTGGGCCAGCCAGCAGCCGGATGGAGGCCGCACCGAGAACTGTCTGTACCTGTCCACCAACAGAACGTCTGGCCTGGCCCAGGCCTACGATGACCTCTGTTCTGTGTGGTCGGTGGACAGGTTTGTCTGCGAGATCCGACCCTGAGACTTTGGAGGCTGGATTATTTTTTCTTTTTTTTTCTTTTCTTTTTTTT